ACCTCTCAACGTCCCTGTTCTGGCTGCAGATGTCTTTTTCCCTAGGAACTGTTTTTCTCCCGCTATTGCCTTCCCTTGCAAGTAAAGATCACCTAAGTAAAGGATTCCAGAAATGCCGAGCAACAGGAAACTCACTCAGGCCCTTGCTGAAAGAAAGCAAAAACCAGGTGGTTGGCACGAACTTCTGAAAGTGTACACTCGGACCTTGGTTTCTGCCTGTTTGCATGACCCGCAGTCATCACTTCATCCCCCATTACCCTGTTTTCCTGCCAACCAGAAAGGCTGGTTTTCCAGAAAGTATTTTGAAGTCTTCAAGGTGAAGATGCAAGAGAGCAAATGATGATGTTACCTTTGTGCTCAAATTCTGTGTATTCATTTGCATCCTACTGCCCAGAACCATGATGGCTATTGATTGAAGATCAGTTCAGAAGACATTGCCTGCCCTCGTTAGCATATACTTAGCAATGACCTCTGTTCGCACAGGACAGTGGTTTTCACTTCCTGCTGAGTCTGGATTAACTAGATTTTGAAAGATTTTGAAAAGAAGTGTGTAAAGGTAGAAAACTTCCCAGAGACTTGGTGTGAGCTGTGGTCTGAAGTTTGTCGTGTATATTCCATGTTTTCAAGAAACATTAGGCAGGGATGAAAAGTGAATTAGTCACCTCTTCCTCCTCTTTTGAGAAAGAGAAGACGCTGCTCCAATAAAGATTTACAGCCACAGGAACCCAGTATAGGGTTCCTGAGATCTAAGAAGATCTTTGCCACCCAAGAAAGATTGTTTCCCAAACCACTCTAAAAATCAACAAAATTCTTGGAGCCTTACTTTTAAGAACTGCCTCATTTTCTAAGAAAGTTCATTGTTAATGTTACGGCCCTTTCTAGTGCTGAAAGGCAGGTGTTTGGTACTGAATTCATAGTGCCCAGTGGCATTCTTGAAAACAGCCTCCTGCTCTTTCTCCCATGAGCAGGTACCGTCAGTTCTGCCCTGTTCTTCTCTGTCAGCACTGTTTACCGTTGGACCTGCCGTGTTGTTTCTCATTACTTCTTCAGCTTGAAGTTCAGTGCTGTGCATAATATTCTTTAATGAAAACCTGATGGGCCAAGCAGTAGAATTACTTTCTTCTTTCATGACAGATACGTTGACGTTCACTTTTTAACAAATGGCTTAAATTATCTGCTGTCTCTCATAAACCCCGGGTTTCTGACTGAAAATTTTTTTGTTGAAAATAGTTGATCTCCCTCCTTGCCTGCCCGCCCCCCCCCCAAAGTATACCTTTATTGTATGTCTCTGGTTTAATGGACGTGCAATTTAATTGGCTATATCCAAACGGACCAATATTGAATAGTTATAAATCTAATTGGTTATAGCCAAATGGAAAATGCTTCATAAATTTGCCTCTCAGCTATTAGAGTTTACATCCCCGTTTTCCCCAGTCTTATTGTATGGTAAGCACAAATGCCCTGGTGGTGTTCTTTTTAAAAGATCTTGGTTTTGAGCCTGTGAATGGTGGCAAAACAATATCAGGAGAGCCAACGAAAATGGTGGAAAATGGTGACATTTGAGAGAGATGTAACCAGTATCACTTGTAGACATTGGTGAATGAGTGTAAGAACTGCCAAAAATATAGTCAACAGAAATAAAATACACTTTTTTAAATGACCCAGTTTCTTAAAGAGCAAGGGGAGGGAAAGGGGACTCGTGTTTGTTTTGCCTTAAAAAAATATATATTAGTAAAAACAAAATTTTAAAGGTGAGTCTTAAATAAACTACACATTAGGGCTGTAATTAGCATGTTGTGATTTTGTTGTTGTTGTTAAGTTCTTTGGGTTTCTTTCCCACTTAGGTATGTTGATGATGTGATCAGCCGCATAGACAGGATGTTTCCTGAAATGTCAATCCACTTATCCAGACCCAATGGAACATCTGCAATGCTTCTGGTAAGATCTGTTTGACCTGTTTGTAAGGGCACGTGGAAGAAACTTAGCCTCAAGATTAACTCTCTGCTCCTGTGTTGTTCAGTGCATGAAATAGACCTTAAATTGCAGTGTCATGGAAAATAGCATCTTTCTCTTTCCTGACATTCTTAATAGGTTGAAAAAAGCCTCATATTGAAGTCTTAACCTCTGAGCCATTTGCAGAGCCTATCTAAGAGTTAACCAGAGAGGAAAAATAGCGTAGGACTGTTTTACCTATAAGTTAGCATATGGAACAAGCCTCCCAAACTCACTTTTGGCAAATCTGTTTTATGTTGTCGTAAAGAGATATAATGGAACAATGTTCAACTGTCGGATCCTGCTGAAGAAAAACCTTTTAAGAACAGAACCGGGTTTTGTGGAAATCAGTGATCAAATTCATTCTATAAGTATTTTGTGGTCTCCTGACCAATGAACTGGTATTTGTGGTTTGGGGTTTTTGGTTTTTCTGATTTGGGTTTACTCTGAGCAATTTGTTCTCATAACTTCACCTTAGATATATATCTGTTTGTTTGAGTTCACCAAAAATATGTATGGTTGGGAATACCAGGGATTAGCAATGTCAGTTACAGGATTCTTTAGAAAGGCGTAGAGACACCAGTGCTGAGAGACTGTTTGAATGATCTGGGTCACGACAGGTGCTTGTGCCTCACTTCCGTGAACACATGTTTGGAGGAGCCATCGCATCTCACAGGAGGCAGAGTGTAAGGAGAGTGGCAGTATTTGATGGGCACCAGGGAGGTGAGGTTGAGAACTGCGTACTGTTTTATGTCTAGTCAGCGGCTGCTAATTTGAGGCCTACTGTGAACTCCCCATGTTTAGCCTTTCGCTTGTCCCTGGCAAAGTAGAGGGTCAGCAATAAAGAGGAAGACGCTCAACTAGTTGGATAGACACAGTGGCTGCAACAGTGGGCTTTGTGAGGCTGTGAGGAAGATGCAGGACTGGGCAGGGTCTTGTCCTGTTGTACGTAGGGTCACACATGAGTCAGAACCAATTCCGTAGCACCCAACACGAACAACTTTGTAAAATCTTACAGTCATCCACAAGCGTTTCAGTTCACACAACCCACTCCTCATAGAGTTGGCTTGTTGTGTGTTGCAGGTGTGTTTTTCTGGTAAGAAAGAAAAGATAGGGGTAGATAGGGGCTTGTTAAATGTGTGATACTTCATTGTGAGAAAACACTATTGAAGTTCATCTATTTTTCTTGACTTTAAAATTCTTTCCAATAAAACAACAATAATAATAAAGAGAATAGGATGGTAGAGTGTTTTTGCCTTTAACAGTAAAAGAAAGCATCTTCATATAAGGTGTGTCTATAGACACAAAATGAAATATTTTATGTCGCATTTAAATGTACAAATTGTCTACATTGTAAGATCCTTTGGACCAGCAACCTCAACACAGAGCTTGCTTCCAGCTTCTTGACAGGCCCGGCGAGTGCATGAAGATAAAAATGAGAGTGTCCTCAGCAAAATCGGTTTGTTCAAATGATTTCTGGGTCATTGAGCTTCCATTTCCTGACGAAGGTAGGATTTTGGCATTGAAGGGAATGAGCAGAGGGAACAAGATTATAGGTAAACAGGTCTAAGATACTAGAGTTACTTCCACCTGACAAAGCAGGCTTTTCTTTCACAATGGCCCGGCAGCCCCAGCTTCTTTCTCTTGGAGCTTCTATTTTAATAGACTGACGCGAGAGTTTGGAGAAAGGATTCGGGTGTGTGTGTCTGTGTGTGTGTCTATGCCTGTGACTGGCTCGTTCAGATCCATACACGGCTAGCTAGCTGGTTGTTCCCTTCAGATGACACAAGAATCCACATGAGAGAGTGCCTATTTATAGGGCATAGTAATGGGGGAGCTGATGCAGAATCGTATTGCCAGGTGGATGGGTAATCAGACTTTTAACATAATTGCTTTATTTGGTTTTTACTCTTAAAAGGTGTTATTTTGTCAGATGGCAAATCTGTAAGCCATTTTCTGCTGCTATACCCATGTTCTCTGAGGATGAAGAGAATTCTTGCCTGGGAGGTGGGCAGGGCCAACAGCTGTCCCCACTGGACTCACTATGACTTTGGTGAGGGAAACCAGAAACCCACCCAGGAAACAGTAAGGCACCAAGAGGTGAAGGTGTTTCTTTATGCAGATGAAATCTGGGAGTGTTGTGAAAGACTCCAAGAAGAGAGTGAGACCCGTGGGCACAGACCAGTTAGGAGGTCATGGAAGCAGGACCCACCCCATTTAGGCATTCCTTAATGTTCTCTGTTACCCACCTTCGCCAAACCCCACCCCCAAGCCCTGAACCTCGTAGGTCTCCTTGGATGCAGTCAAATACAGCTTGTTCTAACTAACTGAATGAAAAAGGGCATTGGGTTTTGTGTTTATTTTGCTTTCTAATAATGGTAGATGTTCACAGATTCATAGAGTCTACCAGAAGTGACAAAAACCTGAGTAGCTCCAGGCATGTCAGACCAACACCAAACGCACTGCCATCAAATCAGTTCTGATTTGTAATGACCCTGTAGGACAGAATAAAACTGCCCCTTTGGGCTTCCGATCCAATAAATCTTATGAGAGTAGGAAGCTTCGCCTCATCTTTCTCCTGAGGAGCAGCTGGTGGTTTTGAATGGCTGACTTTGTAGTTAGCAGCCCAGTGCCTGACCCACTGTGCCACCAGGACTTTTATGTCAGGAGTAGGAACAAAATAACAGATCCTTAGACCCTGTAGTCTAAATGATTCCGTTTATTCAGTTGCCTTTCCTTCCCTGTGTTTGTGCGCATACACCCTGGGAGAGAAATAACCCTGTCGACCTAACCTGAGTTGGTTCCTCCCCTGTGGTCAAGGTGAAGTCATGAATCCCCCCCCCCCCCCAAAAAAAGCCCCAACTCATTGTCATAGAGTCAGTGCTCACTTAGAACAACCCCCCACCCACCCACCCCGTGGATTTCCGAGACTGTAACTGTTTACAGGAAGAGAAAGCCTAGTCTTTCTCCCTTGGAGCTACTGGTGGTTTCGAACTGCCGACCATGCAGATCCAACCCAACTTGGAACCATTGCACCACCAGGGCTCCCATGTATTAATGGTAGTCCCCTAAAACTACATAGTGGAGGAGTTGGTCATTCCCCAGGGAACAAAAGGAGGTTGGCAGAACAAAAGGCAACAGGGTACATGATAGAATCAGTCCATGCCCCTGTATAAGGCGCCATCATCTCACATAGCAGTCAGCTCATTTGACCCTCAGAGTGACCCTTGAAGTAGATAAGACAAACGGTTTGTATTGTCTAAGTGAGAAACTGAGATCCAGAGATTCACAGTTCTTTCTACTGAGCCAGGCTGCTAGAACACCCAGCCCCAAGTCTCCAGAAATGCTTTTCCACTTCCATCTCTGATTGTAGCTTATGCTGCTGACAAGATGTGGGCCCCAGGTTGGTAATTTTTGCTTAGATGTCTTTTTACTATGTAATTTGTCAACATATAACGTATATGAAAGTTATCAAGCGTAATGCTAGAGCCATGCGCTCCCCACTCAGTTTAAGAAGAACAAAACCAGTGTTTGCTTCTCCACAATCTTTGCCTCTTCACCCAGTAACCACCACCCTGGCCATCATTGTTTACATTTCGCTCGCTCTCTCTCTCTCTCTACCTTTACCACGTGTACATGTGTCCCTACATAAGGTCTTGTTTCGTTTTGTTGGATTTTGAGCTTTGATAGAAATGGTATCGTGTTGTGTGCTTTTGCGAAGCTGTGTTCCTGTCATTGGATCTATCAGCTGTTTAATAATTTTCCTTGTTGTACAATTGCCCATTCTGTGACTACACTGTTGTTTCTCCTGTCAGTGTATATTTGGGTTATTTCCAATTTTGCTTTTTAAATAATGTTGGCATGAGCATTCTTGCATATACACCAGCATACATTTGTAAGTCTTGGCTCAAGCCGTGGAGCCAGGGCAGGCACTTTCCCAGAGGGGAAGGAGAGCTAAGAGTAGTGGGATTAGATAGCTTTTTCCCAAGACTCACTTGAGTTGGACAATGGCTTCCTGAAACCACTCAGAGGAGGGATTCCCACACTCGCGGATAAAGGGGACCAGAAATGGCTCCAGATAAATGGCTGAGGTTCCATCAGAGCATTCCACTGACCGACTTTGTTGTACTTTGAGATCTTTTCAGTTTGGGTGTGTGAGTTTAAAGGAGGATTTGGCCTGTTTGTGTACATCTATGAGAAAACAGAGTCAACTCTTTGGAACTCAGAGCAGTCCATGAACCAAAATCAGGTTTTTGTGATCCTTTTCAATTTCCTCTCTGATGGAGCAATCACTGCCACAAAGTGACAGAGTGCTTTAGATAGTTGAGGTAATTAAGAGCCCTCCCTAGTCAGTGGTTTCTTCACACTATAAAACAGCGATTCGCAACCTGTGGGCCATGACCTCTTTGGGGGTCAGACGGCTCTTTCACAGGGGTCACCCGATTCATAACAGTAGCAAAATGACAGTTATGAAGTAGCAACGAAAATAATGTTATGGTTGTGGGGGGAGGGGGTCACCACATCTGAGGAACTACATGAAAGGGTCGCGGCCTGAGGAAGGCGGAGAACCACTGCTCTAAATCCATTGGCATCGTGCGTTCCTACTCCTGGGGACCTTAGAGGACAGAGCTGGGCTCCCCCGTTGGGTTTCCAAGGCTGTGCACTTGACAGAAGCAGATGGCCTCGTCTGCTCCCAGAGTGGAACCACCGACCTCTCAGTCAGTCAGTCCCTGAGCCACTGTGCCACCAGGACTCCTTTACAGTATTAAAGTTTACATTGGCGACTTTGGAGGCTGTTCGTTGAGACAGTTGAGATCCGTTCGGCTTGTCTGAAAGCCAAGCCCCAGGGCTTCAGAGCCTAACAGAAACTTTAGGAGCAAGTATTTCCATCAGGGACCTGAGTTTGCCGTGGAAGCACTTGCACATAACCTGTTTGTGGATGTGGT